TGAAAAAGAATTTCTTCATGAGAAAAGAAGCATTCTTTACACAAAAATTAAAGAATTAGAAGATTTAATTGCCACGAGAGGGCAAACTGAACAAACCATTTTTCTAAACCGGAACAAGGACACTCGTTTTTACAACTCAAAAGAAGGTCTTGGTCTTTCAAACCCACGTAATCTGAAGAAAGTGAATTGTATTCAACTTTATGATATCAATTACATGGGTTTGGGACTGACCAAGTTGATGTCTTTTGTCGGAGCAAAAGAAACTGCTGAAGAAGAAGATACAAAGAGATCAAACCCTTCTAGAGCTGAAGTTCCTTTCAGTTATGATGTTGGTTTAGGACTGACCAAGTTGATGTCTTTTGTCGGAGCAAAAGAAACTGCTGAAGAAGATGTAAGGAATAAATGTAATTAGATTTTGATGATGCTAGGATAATTAGATTAGAATTTTAGGGTACCCCAATTTGGATTTTATGTGTTAGAATTTTTCAGTTGTAAGTACTAGTATAATCGACTGTCAGAGTTGCTCTTGGTGGATCTGATCAGAGCTGCTCCATGAGAACTGCTTTCAGAGTTGCTCTCGGGAAGTCATGAGAGTTGCTCATCAGAAAGGAATCAGAGTTGCTCTTCAGAGACTCATCAGAAGACAACATCAGAGAACCATCAGAGTTCGATGTAAAGCTTCATCAGAACTCAACATCAGACAAGTATCAGAGTTCCCTATCTAAGTTCATCAGAAACCAAGGTCAAAATGCCATCAGAGAATCTCATCAGACCTGGATAAACACTTAGAAGAACTCGAAGCTGCTTTCAACGGCCGGATATCAAACGGGAAATTCCCCAACGGTTAGAAGAGATTTCATCTAAGGAAAGCATTTAATGCTCATTTAATGAGCCTGATACGCTGTGGAGTAATTGCAGATGATTGACCGAGATTCCTGGAGAATATTATACAAAAATAGAAACCTGCCAATTCTGCGGGTCCAACCGGTCAACTCCACAGTACGCGCAATTAATGCAGTTGTCTCCTCCTCCAACGGGCAGACAACCTCAGTATAAAAGGATACTCATGAAGAACAACCGGACAACTTTGCGATCATCTTCTGCTAAACTCTTGAGATTAAAACTTCAAACTCCTCTACAAGGAAAAGCTTACGTTGGGAAGATAAAATATTTAAATCTCTCAAACCCAACCAAGAGCAAAGTTCACCCTGTTCTTCAATCTTCAAGAACATCAACTACATATCTTTTGTAACGAAGCAAGTTGGAGAAAACTCTGTTTTTCAGAACATCTTCTGCAAAGAAGGGCGTCCAATTAACTGGAGCAGTGAAGTGGTGATACTTCCGGGAAGCTCAGTGAAAGGACCAGTCTTAGAGGAAGCAAGGAACTGCATCCTAGGAGACATCTAGACTTGAAGAAGACGTGGAGTGCTTCTTAAGTGCTAGGGAACTAAGGCTGTGTAATCTGTGACTTTTACAAGCTTAGTGGAACAGTGGACTAGAGGAACGTGTTGTTCCTTGAACCACTATAAAAACCTCGGTGTCATTTACTTTACTGCACTTTAATTTCTGCACTTAGGACTAAACTGTTTAACTCCATAGAACTTGGACTCTGTGTTCAGCAGATCTTGTTCTCAGAGTTATCAGAAAGGCATTTGCCTTAGTTTCTCTTGAGGCTACCCGGAACTCTTATCCGCTGCAAGACCCAGTTCTGATCATCAGAACTCGACCCTCTCTGATAAGTCAACTCTGACTTAGAGAAAAATTTCAAACGCATAACAGACTATTCACCCCCCCCCCCCCCCTCTAGACTGTTACCAACTGAAACGGGACCAACAGAAGAAGATACAAAGAGATCAAACCCTTCTAGAGCTGAAGTTCCTTTCAGTTATGATGTTTTAAACAAGAGTTATGAAACAAAGGTACCTGTTTTTTCATCTGATGACAGTGTTAGTTTATATCCTTCTGAGAAGGAAGTTGTGTCGGATCAGGAACCCCCCTCAACCTCACAGTCGGGAGAAGAAGAACCTTATATCCTTCCACTAATCAGAAAATTTGAAAACTTACACATTTCTTTAGAAAATCAAAGAAAAAGTTTTGAAGAGGAAAGAAAAAGCTTTGAAAGTGAGAAGGAGAGGTTGTTGAGAGAACTGACGTTTTTAAAAGAGAGTTCCCAGTCTGGCACAGCTTCCCAATCATATAGTGATTCTGATACTTCTCAACCCGCCATGTTTTTGCTATTTTATAGTGGTAGTTTTTTAAAACTAGTAAAATAATTGTATTTAAAAGGGAAAAGGGGCAAATAAGGCCATGTACTAACCAAAAAAGGTCGAATAAGGCCTTATTTAGGAGGCTGTGTCCGACCGTCGCCATTTGGGGTGAATTCATTTGAATGTCTTCCCGATTGAAGTTTTAGCTGAAATTTGGTATGAGTAAACTAGACTTAATGAATAAGATTCTCAAAAAATTTCATCAAAAAATTCCACCGGGAACCACTCCAAATGGCAACGGCCGGACAGAGCCTCCTAAATAAGACTTTATTTGACTTTTTTTTGTTAGTACGTGGCCTTATTTGCCCCTTTTCTCTATTTAAAATATTAATACTAAAAATATATGAGTTTATATGTATTTACTCGCATAAATGTACATATGTTAAAAGTCGTAGCAGTAGTAGTTATATAAGATAAAAGTAAATGTAATTTTTATTTTTCCCAAAACTTATTAAAACATACTCCCTCCGATCCCAAATAAAGTTCCTAGTTTAACTTTACGGTTTTTGAGAAAGTAGAATTTTATCTTTTGACTTTTCCATTATGCTCTTACAAAAAGTAGATTAGGAGCCCGTTTGATAACACTAAAATCGGTTTAATCGGTTGATTCTGCTGAAATTTCTAAAATTCTGGCTGAAGTGGCAGTATTGGCTATTTCTGCTGATTAACGAATAAATTATATTTAAAATATATTTTATTAATAAAATATTGAAAAAATTATATGAAAAATAGCTAAAACAGTCATCTACAGTAACTTCAGCCAATGCAGCTAGAAAAGTAACTACAACCTTATTTTTTTTAAATTTTACACAATTTAGCGCGCGAAATCAAAAGTTACGTGTTTGGTTAAAAAGTTGACTGATACGTTTGATAGACCAAAAAACAGTGTTACCAAACGGGCTCTAGGTGTAGTGTAAAAAAGAAACAAAGTGTAAAATAAGTAAATAAAGAAGGGGTATAAGGATAACTTTAATTTGTATTAAAAACCTAACAACATAAACTTTAACAAAAATTTAAACAAGAAGATAAAATTATCTGATAGGATAAATTTCTCGAACTCTAGCACCTCGTTCAACCCATGAGGGTGATTCAGGAGGAGGCCCAATCATCAGTATCATTGTGATTGTTCATTCATGGCCGCCCAAACTCCGACCTTCGCCAAACTCGTCGCTCTTCAACGTTCGTGCTTAAACAACTGCTCGTTGTCGTCACACCACAATCTCTCGCGGCTCAAACAAGACCTTCGGTTAGGGCCAGCACCATACTCTAATTTAAAAAACAATTTTGCTATGGGTACCCCAAAAGGTACCCCATGTTTACCCCGTATAAAAAAACCTCCCCACTTTTTTCCTCCCCTCCCTCCCCCACTTTTCTTCTCCCCCCTCCCTCCCTCTCTCTCCTGCACCCCCACCTCTCTTCCTCCCTCCCTCTCCTCTTTTTTCACATACCCCCTTCCCCTTTCTTCTCCATTTCAAGATACTTCTCCTTCTTTAAAACTTCCTATTTTTACCATCTTTCCCCCCTTCAACCTCCGATCTTCTCCTGCTTTTCTCCTCTTCCACCGGTGACGTTGCCGACGGCGGCCCTATGCCGGTTGCCGACGGTGGGCCTACGCCGATTGCCGTTTCGGATGCAACCTCAAGGGAAGACAATGACGAAGGCATACCAAGAAACTTTGAATAGATTGAGCAATAGATCTTCTTTTCTTGATTTTGTTTTCTTGATTTTTGATGTATTTTCGAAATAAAAGGGGTTGTCTGTCTGACAGACAACTTGTAAGTGCAGTGTCTGTAAGAGTCGTGAAATTGTCTGTCATTTGAAAACTAAATGTCTGTAATTGATATTTAATTGTTTGTCATTTGTTTATTAGTTGTTTGTATTTGTTTTGAGTTGTCTGTCATGTTGTTGTGAGGTGTCTGTAAGAGTCGAGAAGTTGTATGTAACTCATATTTAGTTGTTTGTCATTTCATTGTGAGTTGTATGTAATTTGTGGTGAAAAATAATGTCTGTCTGGTTATCTCTATTGTCTGTCTTTTTTATGAAACATATGCCAAAATGGTGATTCACAATAAAGTAATGTCTGTATGTGTATACTTATTGTTTGTATGTGTATATTTAATGTCTGTCTCGTTATACTAATTACATCTCAAAATATAAACATCACAAATTACATACAGACAACTCAAAACAAATGAAGAACAATTAACCATCAATTACAGACAGACAGACAACTTCACGACTTTTACATACACTGCACTTACAAGTTGTCTGTCAGACAGACATCCTTTTTCATTTTGAAAACACATCCAAAAAACAAGAAAACAAAATCAAGAACAAGAAATCAAGAAAATAAAATCTGGTCTCAAGTCATTCCAAACTTCTTGGTCTACACCTTCTTCGTTCCTTCTTGTTCACCAAGCTCTCCCCATTCGCCCGACTAGTGTAGCTCCGCCATTTGAAACGAAAAAAAAGGTGGAAGAAGAGAGAAGCAAGAGAAGAAGGTTGGAGGAGGAAAAGAAGGTAAAAATGAGAAACCTTAAAGAAGGGGAGATCTAGAAATGGAGAAAAGAGAAAGAGAAAGGGGAAGGGATGAGGCTGTGTGAAAAAGTGGGGGAGGAAGGGAAGGAAAAAAGGGGGAGGGTTTTTATATGGGGTAGTTTTGGGATACCCATAGCAAAATTGTTTTAAAAAAAAAACATTTTTTTGGAAGTTAATTAAAAAACTTTTAACAATATTTTGCTCTAGCCCTTTACCGCAACGGCGCAACAGAACGCCCAGAGGAAAAACTCGTTTCTTAAAATGAAACAAAGAGAGAAGCTAAACCATAATTTAGCATTCGGATTTAGTTTTGATTTCCTTTTTGAGTCCTACAATCGCCTGTAGAGGTCGCAACCACAACGAGGTTAGCCTATTTTTATCCAACATCGAGTCTCTGTTGTATTTGCTTCTTCGTTTGTGTATTCATCAAGTTTGAATAGTTTGGTTGGTTAGAAAATGTGGTTGAAAGTGGAAAGGTTTGTTTAAATGTTAATTTTTTGGGGGGGTGGTCATAACCTGATTCCGATGAAACTCCTCCTACTTCATTGACTTTCGAAAACGATATAGATTTGCTTGTGCAAAGGGAAATATCATTGATCTTCTTCGGTTTTATGCTTCTTGCATGACTTTGGTTTCCTTCAGCTTTGAGGTTTCCACTCATGTTTCTTTTTATTGCTGTAATTTAAACAGGCAGACATCATGAATTGGAAAGAATCTATTATGATGTTTTATCTTCTTAATTTTATTCTTCTGCTGTCATTTTTTTTGTTTTCTTGAGGATGGGGTGGGAGTGGTGTGATTTCTATAATCTCTTCTAGATTCCGTAATTTCAATTACTATCTATTTATTACTATAGGTAAATTTGAGTCATCAGTTTAGATTACTGTCATGATAGATGACATCCTTCTTTTCATGACTATAATGGTTTTTAAAATTTATTTTTGTTTCATTGAACTAAATTACTATCATGATGATGATATCCTTGTTTTCCTTTTTCTGCTTTTTTGCTGGGCTATTTTGTGGGAGATCTACGCATCTTTCCTCTTCTGACCTGTGTCTACTTCTTACAGTAATAGGTTTGTGCCTTAAAATGGCAAACTCCAAAGGATCATTGAGAACCGGAAACATATTGTGCAGTGGGAAGAATTCATTACTCCCCCCTAAAAGTCCATATCCTTCCATATCTCCATCCTATATTGAATTTATCCCGACATTTCTACAAAAAGGTACACCTAAAGCAAGAGAAGGAAATCCACACCACCAGCGTACTTCGTCTGAAAGTTTTTTAATGGATGAACAACCATCATGGCTTGATGACCTCCTTAATGAACCGGACAGCCCTGTACTTAAAGGAGGCCACCGACGTTCATCTAGTGACTCGTTTGCTTCCTTTGTGAACTCCGGTTACATAGTTCAAGGTCATGACAAGCTCAGAAACAACATGTTTAATGTCCCTACTGTGAGTACAGAACCTGATTTGCATCGAGATGTATATGGTTCAGGCATACTCGTGACTAGGGCAAGAGACATAGCTCCAAATAAAATTGGCCATCTCAGTGGTATTCCCTCACCTAGAGAAAACATTGCTCTTCAAAAATCAGAATCTTCAAATCCGCCACAAAACGGAGAGAGGGCACAATCTCCTGCAATTGTGAACCGGGATGTTCTCGAATCTCGTCCAGGTGATATGCATAGCTCTTCGGAAAAGGATTCTTCTAATGCAAAGATCTATGATTCAGAAACAGACACAAAACGTGTAAAACAGTATGTCCCCTAGCTAAATTGCAATATGATTTTGGTGCTATTCTTTTTACTATTTTCTTGTTTGTAACATCACTGTGCTGTTTTTTAGACTTGAAACTTAGAATCCTCAAGTGACTGAATTGTTGACACTCAGTTTACAATTTCTGGTTGGTATTAGACTATTGGCTGGATAAGTGGACGGAATGACCAAAGGTGGCAAGAAACCATTACTATGTGATACACCCACATACAACCTTCATGTTTAGACTTGAAGACTAAAATCATCCAAGTCATCTAGTGATTAAGAGTCGCAGTGTCACACTCACTTAACAATTTGGGGTTTGTTTTAGACTATAGCTGGATAAGTAGTTGGAATGACCAAAAGTGGCAAACAATCAATAGTCACACACCAGAAGTCCAAAACACGAATGTTGGGTACCATATGGGATAAGATTTTTTAAATCTAGTTTCATTATCTCACGATGCAGTTATTTCTCAAAGAATCTTCTTCTTTTTGAACAAAATATAAGGAACGTTTGCAGCAAATGAAAATTGTGCACTTCAACCAACTTAAGATATGCTACGTTATGCAGGCAGTTCGCTCAACGCTCCAGAGTCCGAAAGCTGCAATACATAGCTGAGTTGGAAAGAATCGTCCACTCTCTACAGGCACGTACATACAACATCTTCCCTTTAGAGATTTTACATGCATGTTCATTGTTTCAGGATACAGAATTTTCTGGTATTTGAAAGTGTTCGTGCTACTCCATTCTTTTATTATAGGCCGAAGGTTCTGAAGCTTTTGCTCAGCTTGAATTCATGAACCAGCAAAATCTCATCTTGAGCATGGAGAACAAAGCTTTGAAGCAGCGGTTAGAAAGCTTAGCTCAAGAACAGCTTATAAAGTATTGTAAGTTACTCCATTTGCTGTTGTTTTTTGTTTTTAGGGATTGTGTGGTTCCCAATTTGTGTGAAATTACCTAAGGTGACTCTCCATAGAAGTATTGTCAATAAGGCTATGTTTGGGAGTTGGGTTTTTATTTATCTTTAGTTTCTTTGGGTGGGTGTGGTATTACTTTTTTCAAATTCAGAAAATTATACTCCGTAAGTAATTTATGGTAATCAATAAACGACCAAGACATTGACTTATACTAGTTTATCATTTTATATCAACTATTTAGAGAAAAAACTCAAGGTCAATTATTGTTTCCTTAAAATGAAGAATAACTCATCCCCACCCCCCTCACCTCCAAATGTCCAAAACCCCTCTACCAAACATACCCTAAGAGAACATAAAATGATCAAAATATCAGTGTACATATTCTTTAAGCTACTTGGTTCACATATTGCGATATAACTTTTGTTGTCAAATTATCAATCCCAAACTCACAATATTCTAAAGTTTTTTCACAGAAATGTAATGTTGCAATAAGAGGGGAATAGAGGTAGTTCTATTAGCGCGTCCTTTGCTAAAGAATGCAAACGTGACAATGATTACATACACTGCTGTGGTGATAGAATTTCCTATGCCAAAGTAGGATATGTTACATCACCTTGATTACACACCTAGCTAATGTCATTTGACTTGATTCAAACGTTCCCAATAAGGCACATGATGCTCCTAAATTGTGCACAATTGGTCAAGTTCCATTATCTATTGTCCTAACTTATACCATGTCAACTCTCTGATGGTTGTTCTATGTGTTGCACATTCCAATCACTCTACCATAACATATAAGACATGTGACCCTCCTTTACGAATTGAAATAATTATTAGTGCAAGATTTATTCGGCTTGAATCATCCCTTGCCTGTGTTCTTATTGCCAACGACTGGTTTGAGAACATTTTGCAGCATAAAGTTGAATTTCATTATTCGAGTCCTTCTAGGGAGCCCATATCGGCAAACTTAACTGTGTCCACTCTACCACATGTAGAATTAAAGTGACGTAGGTCCCATTAGACTCATCTGGAATCCACGTGGACCACATAACTGTTTTTCCTCATATAGCACATTAAAGCGTGCCACACGGGTTCCTTAAAAAGAATTACGGAGTATTTATTATTTAAACTGTCCTTATTTGATTTTAATAGCTGCTTCTGGTACAGAGATTAAAACAATAACATTATTTTCTGAGGGAAAAATGCAGCTGCACAATCATCCACTTAAAAAAGAACTGGAAAGACAATCTTGAGACAAATGGAAAAGAAAAAAATGCAGCTGCACAATCATCACTTAAAAAAGAAATGGAAAGACAATTTTGAGACAAATGGAAAAGGAAAGTTTTAAATTCATTTAGGAGAGTGTTCAGAAATATATACTGTGAATGCTATGTGCAGTGGAGCATGAGGTACTAGAGAGAGAGAGGGGACGATTGAGGGCTTTATGTCAGCAACAACATCAAGCACCTCCTCAACTGAAAAAGAGACCATATTCTAGTCATCGGCTTTCCAAAAGTGTGGATTTTGGTAAGCAAATTGCTAACCTCTCTGTGGAATAGAAATTGGGGCTATCTCTGTCTGTTCAATGCTGAACCAGACTGTATGTACATATCTAGGATGTCGCCATGGTTGAGCGGAGCTCTTGCAAGTTGCAAAATTTCATTGCCTTGGCCGTGTTTGGCTGCAGTGCATCATCTGCTGGTAGTTTCAATTGTATATTCCTCTTCTTTCTTTTTTTTTTAAATGTTCTTTATTAAGAAGGTTAGTGAATATGATGTTTTTGCTTCAAGGCATCATCCTCCAACTCCTTGTATCTTGAAGGCATTATTTAGTTCCGGCAATTTCCTTATTCCTTTTATTATGAATGAATGCCATTTTATAGATTCCTGAGTTATTCAGTGCCACCAATTTTGACATTCTTTTCAAACACCAAATTGTAAGCATGCATGACGGTAGATGAATAAAGAAGAACAAAAGAATGACACACCATCTTTGAAGAGGGGAAAAAACTTAGTAGAACTTCAGTCATATAGGGCCTTAGGGGTGTTTGGATCTATTTGTTCACACTCTTTAAAAAGGGTGATGGTCAATCTCTCATTCTTTGATAAGTTGATTGCCATGTAGTATTTCAATCTTTTTCTTTTTTAAAGTTATAATTTTTTTTATATCTAATCCAATTTTTATAAAAACAGTATACATCAAATTAAATATTTTTATGTTCTTTCCAATGGTACCAATATTGCATATAAAAAATAAAAATAAAAAACAATTTTTCCTAAATAGCTACTTTTTGATTTTTTTTAATTAAAAATATAGAATATTGGTACCATATGAAAGATCATAAAAATTTAAAAATACTGATATAATTTCTAAAAAAAATAATTAATTGTAAATGAAAAAATTGAGAGGGTGGAAAAAATTGTTTCATTTGTTAAGCTATAGTATATTTAACATAACTTTGTTTGGGAAAACTTTTTTAAGGTTATGTCATAAATATTATGTAGTACGGAGTAGTACAAAATTAACTCCGAGTTTGGTTCTGAGTGATGGCGGTTGTCAGAAATCTTTTTGTCGGATTGCTTACTATCCAAATGATGTGTTCTCAATTTAAGCTTATTTCTTTCAAAAAAAAGTTTTGAAATACTTCTTTTATGTCACCTGCATTAAAATGACATGAAGGATTGATGGATTCTATCTTTATTTTTATTTTTTAATCTCCAAAACTCAAACCAATAAAATAAAAATTTTGTTCCCGACTGCCGAACTGCACGAACCATTACTAGTCGAAGTCCGCCCCTTCCTCGTTTTTTGTCTCATCAAGTGCGACGTTGTCTTCCCCAACCTTGTCTTCTTCCTGAGAGTCTCATATCCTTCTTCGGATTTGTTCCCCCGGTGCTTCCTCCTTTATTTCAAATTCCACGCCTTTGGTTGTACTCTATGCTAACTCTGAGATAGGCTCCTTCCCCCTCATCCCATTCAACCATTAGATTTATTATCCCACATGTTCTTGCGGTCTCTGCCAGAGCTCGATGAACCCTCCACCAGCCATTTACTTCTTCATGTTGGGCTAGTTTCCAACCCCGAATTTTCATAGGTCAGAGGACAAAATTTGTCTGAATGCCCAATTAAACCACAGATAAAACAGCAGTTGGACAACTTTTCATACTTAAAGTCCATCCAATAACTTTTTCCTTCTTTCTTGAGATTGGTACCTTTTTTCCACATTCATACTCACCCTGATTCTCATATAAGACTCTCACTTCTCACTATTCGGATTATCATCATATCTTATAAATTTTTCAATAAAATTTCCAATCCGCCTTGCATTACCTAAATTCTCTAGACTGTATGTAGGGTGCATTATGGACTTGAACCTAGGGCTGGGTCCGAAAAACCGAAAACTGAAAACTGAATCAAATTATACTGAACCGTAGCCAAATAAAACTGAACCGCTAACAAACCGAAACTGAACGTAAAAGACTGAACCGAACCGTAGTTGTTTGGTTCGGATTTGGTTTTTACCCTTCAAAACCGAACCGAAGCGAACAAGCCAAACTAATTAAAATATAAAATTTATTTGTCAATTGTTAAGCATTAATCCTAAATAATCCTAATATCATTAATAGTCTTTGGTTTTCTTAAAGAAATAATGTTTGTGTTATGTTTAGTTTAGTTTAGTTTATAAATTCATTTACACATTCATTATCTGTAATAATGTAGCTATACAGAATGATGCTAATATGCTTTTACTGTTTATTAGTATTCATTAACTTTTATTTTTATTTAACTTAAAGAATCCACATTGATGAAACAATAAATATTCATCTCAACTAATCAACTATATCACATAGAACGTATATACTCATGAACTTTTTTTAACTAGTCACAAACAATGTAAATTAATAATATATACTACCTCCATCCCAAAAAGAGTTGCAAATTTGACTTTTCTTAGTCAAACAGTCTCATTTTGTTAACTTAATTAGGATGTCAATTTTTAATTATATTGTAATTTGGAGTTTACAACTTTGAAGAGATTTTAATGTAGTTTTTGAATATGTAAATTTTAATTATTAGAAATTGAATTAATTATCCATATGGAGGGTTGACTTTTATTATTGGTTGACCAAAAATTGTTGACTTTGCAAAACAAATTGGGACGGAGGGAGTATACTTTTATCAAGACATATCTATTTATATCAACATATCTCTCGCATACTCATATAATTCAAGACATATTTATTTATTTTTATTTTTATTTTATTTGTTGTAGTGTGCTTGCATTCTTTATGTAATATGTTTGATCCCTCAAAGTATTATATCAATTTTAAATGAAATGATAATTTTTCCGTAAAAACCCGAAAAAACCGAAACTGAATCGAAACAAACTGAACCAATCAAACCATGGTTCCAAGTTTTGGAGTGTAAAACCGAACCGAACTTTTACTTTGGTTCTATATTTAGTTTTAGGTCAAAACCGAACCGCGAGAACCGAACCCACCCCTACTTGAACCCAAAAGTGAGCCTCATTTAACACAAGTTTATGCGGAATATCATCTTGTTTAACTTCTTTTAAAAGTAATGAATTACGTTCAAATTGCCATGGACCGCCATCTAGCACATGATTCATATCAACACGATGATAAAACGTAAAGAGATACTTTTTCCGCCAACTTCTTTAATCATAATTCCTTTCCCTGGCCTCCAAAGCGAGGACATAAGCTCTTTAAACGCTTGAAATTTGACCTTCCTATCTGTCAACAAAACTCCCACCACCAGAAACCCCGGAAACCCCGGAATGCTCTCCTCTACCGGCAGGTCCGGCACATCCTCAACATCAGCTTCGTCAAGATTCTAGTCTTCTTCCTCTGTCCCAATCGTCATCTTCTTGTACTTTTCCACAAAGCTTTCCATGCAAAGGTTGTTGCCTTACCTTCTGCCAGAACCTTGCCGCAGTTCAAAGCCCATTCGATCCAGCCGCAGTTCGAAGCCCCGGAGCAGCCACTGCCCGTCTCAGCACCAAATCCATCAAATCCAATTCTCTTCGCTATCTGATCCCTTCCCAAAGCCGAAATTCCAAAAACGAACTACCGAGGATCCACAAATCGACAGAAAACCACAGCCCCACCTCTCGACTAAGTTGATGGCGGGCAAAAAACGCTAAGAGTTACCCGATGGTAACCCCGGAGAGAGAAAAAGTTTGTGTCAAAATATCCTTTGTACAAATACTATAATCTCACATCATTATTAAAACTTTAATATATAAGTTTGATTATTGTTGTAAAGTAATAAAAATGTGTTTAAATAAAAAAAATATCATTTTGTGTTCAATGCTTCCTTTTAAGTTAGCAATATTGAATTTTGATTTAAATAGTCAGGGAGCATTGAAGAAAAAATGATTTTTTGATTTTTTCTATTTTTCATTCAAAACAAAATTATTTTTCATTTTCTGAATTCAATATAATTATTAATTTAATCTTGATTTTTTAATTTTATTCATTTATTTAAAGAGAATAAGAATATATTTGCTTATAAATATGAAACTTAGGTGTATTTTTAGTCCTTTCAAAAACTTAGGTGTGTTTTATATAGTAAAACACAGTTATGAAACACAATAATGTCACCCTATTATTGGTGAAAAACTGCTCCATATTATTGTAATAATTATTTTAAAACCTTTTAATCAATTCCACTGATTAGTAGTGACTCACCGTCTTATCCAAAATTCAATTCTATAACCTATAAAGACACATGAGAATATCACTCTAATTCGAATCACACTCTAAGAAGTAACTAATACTATTTATTTAAATAGGACTCTAATAATTTGAATATATGTATAACACTATGGAGTACTAGGAAATTAATACAATATTCATAAATATTGAAGAAAATTGGGCACCCCAAATTAATGGCCTTTTTATTCCAATATTACTAAAATTAATGAAAAAGATAAAAAAGTGACTTGTTTTAAATTTTTCTAAAAATGTGACTAAAAGTCATTTATTCCTTGTATTTAAGCATATATTTATTATTTTAATATTCCTTTTATACATTTTATATATACCTCCGGACTGCCAACCCCAGCACCACCACTGCCGCCGCCGCCACTGGCACCGCCGCCGCCGCCTCTGGCACCACAGCCGCCGGCACCGCCGTCAGTCACTATCTCAGTGACTCCGGTCAAAGTGACTCCAGTCAAAGTGACTCTAGCGGTCACAGTGACTACCGCCTACCGACCATAGTGACCACCGCTCAGTGACTCCAGTGCCGCCACCGCTCAGTGACTCCAGTGCCGCCACCGCTCAGTGACCACCGCTCACCGCCATTGACAGTGACTGCTGCCACCCCCCGGGCAGTCACTGCCCCCCAGCCTAGCCCTCCGCCACCACTGCCACCACCCCCAGTGCCACCCCCTGGCATTTGACTCCGCCGGCACCACCGCCCCTACAACCGCATTCCACCACCGTGCCACCGCCGCTCACCGCCACACCACGTCCTGTAACTCAGCTCAACACAACCCTAGCCGCCAATATAAGATCTGAAGCCTTAAATGCGTCATCTCCATCTAATTGAATCAATTGCAGAGGCAAAGCCTAAATCGATGAAGCTCCAGATCTGATGGAGTTTCTGTAAAAGAAGAAAGGAGAGGAAGAAGAATTTGGTCTGCACCGGCCGTCGTTTCGAGATCCGGCGCGAGTTACTGTAGAGGAAGAAGATGCCGCTGCCATCGCGAATTTCGTCTCCGTCGCTGAAGCCTCGTCACCGTCTCCGTCGTTGTAGCTTCGTCTCGTCTCCGGATCCGCCCTCGTTGTTGTGGTGTCGTTGTGTTCATGAAATCCATAGCTCCACTTCTGAGGATGGCCATCTCAGCTGCGCTGGAATGGATGTTGTGAAGAAGATG